TATATATATATATATATATATATATATATATATACAACAAATACTTACTCGTTTACAACTACCCAAATATAAATGAATGATTGAAGCTTTTATATAGCACTTTAGTGTATTGCTGTACACCAAAAGTGCTGTACACACCGCGCGCGCGTGTGCGTGCGTGCGTGTGTGTTTTCATGCAATCATAGTTCTTCAAATGCCATATTGTGGTGGCAAGACATTTGGGTCATTAGGTCAACAGATAAAGTGAGTAAAGATCAGGGCTATGATTGTGAACACACCTGTTTCTTCCACAATTCCCTCCAAGATGACAATAATCTCAAACTGTTGCTTCCGCAGCTGCTCTGTATGGGAAGCCACACACACCAAAAGTGGGACGAAACAGCGCGGTATTAAAGTGTTCGCGCCACGCTGACCTGTCATCGGTCAGCATGTCACCTGAAGTCGTGGAAGTAATGGTTAGAGAGTCGGACTCGTAACCCAAAGGTTGCGGGTTCGAGTCTCGTACCGGCAGGGATTGTAGGTGGGGGGAGTGAATGTACAGTGCTCTCTCCCACCTTCAATACCACGACTGAGGTGCCCTTGAGCAAGGCACCGAACCCCCAACTGCTCCCCGGGCACCGCAGCATAAATGGCTGCCCACTGCTCCGGGTGTGTGTTCACGGTGTGTGTGTGTTCACTGCTGTGTGTGTGCACTTTGGATGGGTTAAATGCAGAGCACTAATTCCAAGTATGGGTCACCATACTTGGCCACGTCACGTCACTTTCACTTTCTTCAGTTTCAATGGACCGAGCTGCGCGACCGACTCGACAGCGCAGAGAGGACGTGTTTACTAGCGCCACCGAGCTGACAGCACGGCGCTGATCTGTTACAACATTAGGCTACTCCGCAGAAGTTTGTGTTTTTTTTCCTGCACAAAATGCACCTTAGTATCGATATTTTTTGTTTGAGTATCGATACTTTCGATACTCGCGTCAGTATCGATATATCGATACTTCAGATCGATACGCCCATCCCTACCGATGACAGGTCAGCGCGGCGCGAACACTTTAATACCGCGCTGTCTCATCCCACTTTTGGGTTGTGTGGCTTCCCATAGAGCAACGCCTCATCAGCACCAGCTCAGCCTCGGTAGGCCCGCAGATGGGTCTCTGGCCGCGCACGTATCCACGCTGAGGGCTGTAGGGCAAATCTGTGGTGCTCTTGTGGCGCCGAACGGATATACGCTAGGTTTGGAGGTCTGGTTTGGCATAATGTCTGGCAAAGGAAGGGACCCAGCAAGCAGCCGTCATTTCAACGTCTCGGTTAAGTATAGACCCGATATAGTCCAGCTATGTGTAACCCACTTCTAGCCCAAATAACCTTGAATTTGGTTTCATGTCGTTTTTTGGCAAAATAACTTGTGAGATGTATGATATTCCATCATGTAAGCAAAGTCAACAGCGTTTACAAGGTGTTTGGTTTCATTTCTTTGACATGTTCAATACGTAGCCTGTGCATAGCCACGATTTAGCTCGTAGTCAGAGCGGCTATCTGTAGCCCACTTTTATATTCAAACCTGATTCACTGTAGTTTTTGGCCAGACAGTGCATGAGATGGTTGATATCCCATCATGTTCGCAGTGTCAATAATATCTACAAAGATATACGTGTCATTTCATGACATGGTCTATATGTAGCCACAATTTAGCTCTAAATTGGACGGGCTACGTGTAGTCTGCTTTTAGCCCACCTGGCGAAATTGAGGCAATCTGTGGTCTAATTTTAACGGCTTGTCTATAGCCCTATACCAGTAACCAGACTAGCTGCAAATAGCTCAGATGTGCAATGCAGCATTAAAACCTAAACAGTGCAAAGTTAACAGAAAACATAATGAAATAAAACGGTAGGGGGTGAATTTCTTATTCCATGTACATTTGAGGTTAATGTTTGTACTGGGCTACTTTTTAGTTACAGCAGCTATCACTGTGTTGTTATGAAGTCAGTTGTGCCAGACAATTTTGGAGGCAGAGACAGATTGTG